GACAGAGAGGGAGGGAGGAAGAGAGGGAGAGGGAGGGAGGGAAGGAGGGAGATGTTGCCCATCCGTGTAAGCTTTCACCAGCAGATCAAATGTTAGGACTTATGCGGAAGTGGCATGTGGGGAGGTTTCTAGGAGGACTTCCTGTCTCTCCTGTGCTCAGTTGCTTTAGCTGCTGCTCCAGCACATAGGCGTCAATGATATCCACACTTGTTCCTCAGCTTCTCTGTCCCCCTGTCCCACCTTCCTGCCTGAGAAACCCCATTTCTAATTAATCCAGGTTTCTAGGTGAGATCGCCCTGTCCTATTCAGAACAGACTCAAAGGTGAAACTGGTTTGTTCTTATCTCAGCACCTCCGAACCCAAAAAACAAATCAAAACAAACAAACAAAACTAATGGCTCCTGGGTGTAGACCAAAGTTTCTGTCCCCAGTATAGTCCCAAACAAACACACAGAGGCTTATATTAATTATAAACAGTTTGGCCTATACTCAGGCTTCTTATTGACAAGCTCTCTTGAAGCAGAAGCAGGAGAATCTCTGTGAGTTCAAGGCCAGCCTAGTCTACATAGTGAGTCCCAGGTCAGCCAAAAATGCACAGAAAAACCAAAATCCATACCAGTGCATAATGTTCATGTCTGTATCACCAGGGCACTGTTATCTTACAACTCTGAGAGACTGAGGGACACAAATCATCTTATGTAGAGTCCACAACAGGCACCCTCCCTCAATAGGTGCACAGCATGGCCATTTGCCACTGAGAGCTGAAAAATATGCTTCTCTTCTTTGAGTAAAAAGTAGAAACTCTGCTTCATTTCTCAGAATCAGTTCTACTTTTAATGAAGAGAAAAACAACCACGTCTGGTTTTGCAGGCACTCACAGGAGTGTGTGACCTAGAACTTTTCATGTGAAACATCATTAACTCACAATGGCATAACAGAACTACATACAAAGTGTATGATCATATGTGTGAACAGGATTTAGACAAGCATGTGCCAATAGGAAAGATTTTAAAAGGCAGGCTATGGTCTATAATATGTGACTTTTATAGATATAATTACTGAGTCTAGGGCCTTAGATTGCCCCATCTGCATTAGGAGATGGTTAATTAGTATTTGCATGACATTTTAGCTAAGAAGACTTCTTTATTGACTTTATCAATTGTATTTGACATTCAGAAATGAATGCTTTTTTTTTTCTTCCCCTTAGGTCAAACTTTTAGACTAAAGGAATGGAAAACAACCAAATTTACAGTCAAGACACACAAAATTGAGTGTTAGGAACATCTGGAAATACAAATTTCAGATGCATTTCTTCCTCATTTTCAATTCAGATTCAGCCTTGATTAAGCGTGGTTCACTTTCATTTGCCTAAAATAAACCATTAAGCAAGAAATATTAGTGGGAAATGTTATAACATTTTTTAGAAGTAGCTTGCTGTATTTGAGCATTAACTTTGAAAGGAAGTTCCTCCTCCTCCTCCTCCTGTGTGTGTGTGTGTGTGTGTGTGTGTGTGTGCGCGCGCGCGCGCATGTGTGTGTGTGTCTGTCTGTCTGTCTCTCTGTCTGTCTGATTGTCTGTCATCTATCATACACACTACACTGACTAGCTTTGTATGTCGACTTGACACAAACTAGAGTCAACAGAGGAAGGAGACTCAATTGAGGAAATACCTCCATGAGATCCAGCTGTAAGGCATTTTCTCATTTAGTGATCAATGGGGAAGGGCCCAGCCCATGGTGGGTGGTGCCATCCCTGGTCTGCTGATAATGGGAAAGCAGGCTGAGCAAGCCAGGGAGGCAACCCAGTAAGCAGCACCCATCCATGGCCTCTGCCTCAGCTCTTGCCTCCTGGACTCTGCCCTGCTTGAGTTCCTGTCCTGGCTTTCTTCAGTGATGAACAGCAATAGGGGAGTAAGTCAAATAAATCCTTTCCTCTCCAACTTGCTTTTTAGTCATGGTGTTTTGTTGCAGCAATAGAAATCCTAACACGAGTGCATGCATGTGAGCGCATGCGCATACACGCGCACCTACACCTACCTATCTTACTCCTCTAGAACTTTCTACATTTTGTACATATAAAACTTTTTATTAAGACTCGTTCTATTATGTTCCTTAAAAGAGGGGTATAATTATCATATGTACACAAGTAATTTCATAGTTTAATATCTACCCAAAATAAATGAAAATATGAGCTTACAAAGATTTACATCTAAATGTTCTTAGCATTGTGGTTCATAACAGCCCAAATTGATAATAACACAGAGCCAAAAAGATGGATCAGTGGATAAAATCATTTGTCATCAAGCTTGAAGATGGGAGTTTGGTCCTAGGACTCAAATGGTAGAAGAAATGAACTATAATCCCCCAAGTTGTCCTCTAACCTTCATGTACATGCTGTGGCACACTTGGGAACATACACACACACACACACACACACACACATATATATATATATGTGTGTATGTACATATATATATGTATGTACATATATGTACATACACACACATATATATATATAATTAAAAGCATGCCTGCCTCCATAAAGGAAGCCAAGAAGATGATGCTGGGTATATCATAGGCCCAAGGAAAGAAACCACTATTAGTCTGCAAAAGGGCCATGGTGTTAAAGCAGCACCCTAAAGATGTATATCCACAGTTAAGTCATCTCTCAACCCTCAACACAGAAGCTTCTTTTTGCTGTAAAGGGTGACTAACTCCCCTGCTCCTACAATTCATCTACACACAGAGAATAAGAGACTTGGAGTTCTGGATACTTAAGGGGACATATGTGTCAAACACTCTCTTCTCAAGGCTCAGAGACAATCACTAAAGATGGATTGGAAAGATTATAAGAGTGAGAGGCCATGATGACTATGTTAATGCAGTATTTTATAGAAACAGGATAGTCCATACACTGACATAGCTCTGACCTCTGCAAATTAAACCTAACACAACCCCAGCATGAGTGGGGAGATGGTCATAAAGTCCTATCCCTAGCTGTGAAGCTATTGGCAACCAAGGATGGGTAGAGGAGACTCAGGTTTCTTAAGAGATGTGAGCCCCAGGAAGGCTACCCATGCTTCAGTACAGAGCCAGGCATATGCAGGCAATACTAAATGGACTGGGAAATAGGACACCTGAAATTGGGAAGGAATCATGGATAGAAGGGAAAAAATGGAGGTGAAGGAATAGGGGGCTGGACTTGATCAAACGACATATGCATTTATGAAATTCTCAAATATATAGATATACAGTTAAAAACAAAATGACCACATGCACATCAACTGAACAATGGACAAAATATGATGCTCACACAATGAGAAATCATTCGGCATTTAAATAGAAACAAAAAATATTGATGCATACCAAATTACAGATGTGCTGTAAATGTAGCCTAAAACCAAAGAACATATAGTCTGAAATGTTTAGAGAAAGTAAGCCCATGGGAACTGAAAAGTAGATTCACAGTTTCCTGGAGTTGGGACGGGAACTACAAATAGGCATGATGGATCTTACAAAGTGTTGAAGATTAGAATTAGACCATAGTAATTATTATCCATCTTGGTGAAAGTTCTTAAAACCATTAATAGAGGCTGACTTTCTAAATATTATTTGTCTTTGAAGATGGAATTCCACACTTCTTAAGATATTCCAGATTGAGCAATCCCCCAGCCTGTGATAATTTGTTGAAGAAAATCATAGCCAAAAAAAAACAAAAAACAAAAACTTTTCCTTTTTACTTTTTTAAATTAGATTTTAAAAATTGAATCAGTTGAACTTGCCAAACACTTTTTTTGGAAAATAAGCTCTCTGAAGACAGCGTCAGTTGAGGGACACTGACTAGTGTCTGGCAGTCACAGGACACAAGGGTTTCAGATGCGTCGTTTGGCATCAGAGTTGTGGCCACTAGTTTTCATTTTAATAAACCAGGCTCTGAGCTTTCCAAATATTAAATTCAAGGAAGCTTTTTTTTTTTTTTTTTTTTTTTTTTTTTTTTGGTTACTGTTTACAAAGAAAATGCAACTGTCAAGAGTAAACCTAACCCAGTGCTGCTTCGGTATCAACCCCTTGATAAGAGTGCTTCGTTTTGGTTGTCTTTCCTGACTGCATGTATGTCTGTGATTATCTGCGCCCAGTATCCACCTGCTGGCCTGGCAGAATCCAGCTGCTAACCGCGCTGTTGGGCCCAGCATCTGCTGTTCCGTGCTTTTCTCGGTCAGTTACACACTCTGATATCATCTCTGAGAGGACGGAATGATACTATCATCTCAGCTTCACTAAAGAAGGAAATTGAGTTATGGGATCAGGGAGGTCCATAAGACTGGGCCACCCTTTCCAGAAGGCACCTTCAGGAAACTCCCAAAAAGGCTGCAGGGGTAGCAACCAGGACCAGCCTGGGCTGGGGCGCCCTCTTCCTCTCTGCGACCACCTGCCACTCGAGCCCCTCCTCCTTTACCAACTAGGGTCCTAGCAGCGTGAGAGTCTGATATAGCTGCGAGGCACCCCTGAGATCACCGGTTTCCTCACAGGCGTCGTTTATCTAGGAATGGGGGAAAACCAGTAAGGTGAGGTGGCTTAGCTAACGCCACAGCTCTGGACGCTTAGGGCGGGTTGGAACTCAGACCTGTACAGCGCCGGTGGCCGCTCAGAGGAAGCAGGAGGAAAACGACGTGGCGTTGATGGCGCGACAAGCGAGGGGCTCAGCAACTTACAACCAGCGGTCCCCGGAGACCACTTTCAGTGCCCAGAGGGCAAAAGCCGCTGAGCAGACCTCCCGGGTGCACCTGCTTTCACTCCCACTGCCCCCTCCCACCCCCCAGCTTCAGGTGGAAGGATGGAATCTGCTCTGAATTCTCCTCCCTCGCCGTGAGCAGACGGGGGGGGGGGGGGGGACGGCAAAGTTGCGCTTCCATGTCCGCTCGCTCAGTCTCCCCAACTCCCCGAGTCCTTTCCCTTCCTCCTGTCCCTAGCGACACCCGCTCGCAGCCCGCCCGGAACGTACCAGCTGCGCGCAGGAGATGCGAGCGGCGCCTAGCCAGGTCCCTCGCGGTGTCGCCTGCCGGCCTCTCTGCGGCACCCGGGTGCGACGCTGCTCGAGCTCGCGGCCGCCTCTGCCGTGGGATGCGGCGGCGTCTGAGCGCTGGGCTGAGGCAGTGGCAGCAATTTGTGGGGCGGAGGGAGCGGCTCGGTCCCGCCCCCGGGAGCTGAGCACGGCTCCGCAAGACCTGCCTTGCTAGCAGAACCCGCCACCGCCGAGCCCCAGAGGGCAAGGGCAACTGGGGCTTTCCCTTCCAGGAGTCCTAAGTGGAAAGCTCTCTTCCCTGCATGTTCGCAGAGAACCTGAGTCTGTTCCCCTGGGTTCGGTTAAGAATTTGCTGGAGAAAAACTGCGGGAAGTTCGCATCTCCTCTGGGTCTGTCAGGGTGCTTTCCCAAGGGCCTGGGAGCCTGCTGACAGGAGGTTGCACTTGACCTAAGGAGGGATGTTTTGGAGAAGGCAGGTCTATCTGCACCTGGAATCTGGGTGTCTGTGTTTATTTGCGGATTCTTTTGGCACATTGGAGTCTCACACCATGCAAAACACTTTTTTGTGTGTGTGCAATGAACAGTAGAAACCAATGCATATCAAGCTTTACTTTTAGACTCTCACTAAGGAAATAAAGTTCTTGCTGTTAAACTGTTGTTAATGCCCCATTTTTAATGTAGGAAATTGATGGCGGTGCTGCTATGAAGACCCCTCTCTGCTTCTGGAGGAGATAGCTTCTGATGTCCTGATAGTTACCAGAATTCCAAGTCTTCGGGACATTTGCTGGCTCAGTTAATATGCATATGGCTTCCAAGAGTTCAAGGTCTCTGACCCACTTCCCCACTGAGGACTTCTGTCCAGGCCCACAGACGTGGCCCTGCTTCATCATGACATAAGGTCAGAGAGTTCAAACCCCTATTGCTCTTTCAAGGTCACCTTGACAACAGGGTATTTGGCTTAAGTAACTTATCGAAGTCTTACTACACTCAGGATATTTAGCCTAAAGTATGGCTATTGTCTACCTTGCCTTGACAACAGGATTCTTGGTTTAGGGTGTGACTACTTGATGCTTTGTGCATTGAGAAGGTAATTATCCTTGCTTGTTCTTTGTATCTTGGCAAGGAAGTCTTTTTGCCTTCCCTTACTTCTGATTGGAGTATATAAAGACTGTGTTTAATAAAGTTGGGATTTTCCTTCCCGACTCTATCCTGTGTTTCTGTCTTTTCTTTAGCATCCATAAGTTTTCTTCCTGCCATTTCTTAGTCCACAGGCTTCCCCCCAATCAAGGACTGGACATATAAGCCGGTGGGACCTGGACACAGGACACTACAGACTTCCAAGTGGCTTTCTCATGAAAAGACTGACACATTAAAATATAATCAGGTAAAAATTCTCATTTAAAGTGTCTAGAAAAGTGTATGATGGTTAGACAGTTTAAGCTGTTCAGTGTCTGTCATTCCACAGTGTAGTAATTCTCTTACTTGCAGGTAATAAACTGGAACTCAGCAAAGTTAGATCATTAGCATAAGATGAAGCAGGAAAATCCAAACCATGCAGTGGTCCAGAGAATAAAAAGATGCTTCCTGACAAACCTAATGACTTAACTTTGGTTTCTAGGACCCAAATGGCAGAAGAAGAAAACTGACTCCCATAAATTGTGGACTGGTTTACACATGTGCCCCATACACATGCATAAATTCATCAATACACGTGTATAGATTTGAGCTTAAATTTTAAGAGAGGCCTAGAGACATAGCTCCATGGTAAAGAGTTCCTGCTGCTCTTACAGCAGCCCAGCAGCCCAGCATTACATTCATAGCACCAACATTGTCTATTGCAACTGACTGTAACTCTAGTTACAGTCTACAATGGGGTATGACGGTAAAATACCTGAACTTAATGAGCTATTATAGGACAATGATCAAAGTTTTATGATTGTTCAACTGAGTCCTTATATTCACAATTTATTTTATTTTTAAAAAACTACATTTGGGGTCAAATTTTATTTTAAAAACTAGTCCTTGAGAAAACTGACTCTAGAGAAATTTCTAGAGACCTACAAGGTTGACCCCCAACTAACAATCTGAACAACAGTAGAAAGGCTGCCTTAAATGCCTTTACCTGATAATGAGACTGATGACCAACTTATATGCCATCATAGAACCTTCATCTAGTAGCTGATGGAAACAGAAGTAGACACCCACAGTTAAACACTGAGCTGAACTCCTGGAATCCAGTTGCAGAAAGGGAGGAGTGATGAGCAAAGAAGTCAAGACCAGGCTGGAGAAACCCACAGAGACAGCTGACCTGAACAAGGGGGAGTTCATGGACCCCCAGACTGATAGCTGGGAAACCAGCATTGGACAGACTCAAACCCCCTGAACATGGGTCTCAGAAGGCCTGGGCAGTCCAAGGAACCTCTAACAGTGGAACCAGGATGCATCCTTGGTGCAGGAAAGGACTTTTAGGAGCACATTCCACATGAAGGGCTACTCCCTTAACCTAGAGGCAGGAGGGAGGGCCTAGACCCTACTCCAAATGACTTGACAGATTTTGATGATCCCTCCTGGAAGGCATCACCCTCCCTGTAGAGTGTGGGTAGGTAGGAGGGGTGGTTAGGGGGCATGAGAGGAAGGGAAAGGGAACTGGGATTAATATGTCAAATAAAAAAATAATAAATACATATATAAAAAATAAAATTATTTTTCCTTTAAAAAAACAAAAACAACAACAAAACTAGTTCTCGATGATGTGCCTTAAGTATGTTTTCTATATACTTAAAGTTATCTGAACTCACAAGACTCTGTCCTCAATACCTAAAGTATCCACACAATACATGCTTGGAAGAAGGTGGCTTTTTTTGTTTGTTTGTTTGTTTGTTTGTTTCTGTACTGCATTATTTGTTTATTTACCATTTGTTATTTACCACAGCACATGTATCAAGGCCAGAGAAATTTGGTTCTCTTCTTCTCATTTGGGTTCTGGGACAGTTCATCAGCTTTAGTAGCAAATGCCTTTACCTATTAAGTGGTTTGTAAATGAACAAACTCATTTATTTATGTTTGCCTTTATGTTTAGTGACTTAAACTTTAAAAAAAAAAAAAAAACATTATTTGTAGAATGCTCTTAGCTACTTAGAGAAGACTGAAGATTTCTGGTGTCCTCTCATGTCTAAATGATGCCCATGCCACCATGTGGTCAGCGTGAAGGTCTGCAACAGCTGCCAATGGACAGAACAGACCTTACAGCCAAAGAAGTATTTTAAGTATTGAAGGTAGCAGGAGTTTCCCACAGTTGCATCAAACTGTGTTAGATGATGACTTTAAATACAGAAAGCTTAATTCAACTTTGAAGTTGTATCAAGAGATATGATAGAAAGATGGAGGAAAAGGCAAAAGAGAAGCTTGTTTGCTAGGTCTGGAAGTAGGTGAAGGAGAGGGGTATGTGGTAAGCTGAAGACAAAATTAAAAATAAGTGAACATGGAAATTGAGAAAGAAGAGGAACTAAACCATTTGAATTTCACTCAAATGATACAGGCGAGAAGACAAAGGTTGTACTTGGAAGGCAGTGTGACATTTGTAGAAGTTTTCATAGAACAATGATGGCATAATTTATGGAGAAGTTGTGGGTAAGATTGGCTGACAATGGTAATGACCAAACAGTCGTGGAGTAAGGTATCTGCGTAGACACCAAAGCCACAAACAGTGAGTATGACGTAGAACAGAGACATTCATAAATAAAGCAGAAAAATCTGGAGACAAAGGAAGTCTGCAGAATTGAGGATGAAAGAGCATATATATATGTGTGTGTGTGTGTGTGTGTGTGTGTGTGTGCATGTGGAGAGAGGAAGAACAGAAAGGATTGACAGACTGGTGTAAGTGGTGGCTAACAAGAGTTCAACACCAGAGAGAAACAGGTTGTGATGCTGTACCCAAAAGGTGTAGGAAGGCATGAGACCATCATCAGAAGCAGCTGAGAAGCAGACAGAAGGAACTATGAGAAAGGGAATGTTTACGAAAATCCGGAGCATGAAATTCTAGTGAAGAGTTGATAAAGATGGCAGTGTTCTTCAATACCAAACAAAGGTTATCCAAAGTCAAACTGGTCCCATGGAGAAAACCCTTCAAGGCCCTACAACTTGTACCCATGAGCAAAGCTCTGCCTCTCAGAAAACCCTGCCTTGGAACCCTTAGTAACGGTGAGACAAAAAGTAGCCATTTCATCTTGCTCTGAACCTTAAAGAGTATGTGATCAAAGCTGTGGGTGAGTGGGGAAATGGAAGGGTGTGTGGCTGGCGTGAGAAGCGGCACCAACCCTCTGCTGCTTGAGGCAGGAAATTGCATTTTCATGGAACACCAAGATTTTCAGCAGGAAAGGTTGTGTCGGTCTCAAATGCAGTCTGTGTTCTGTTCTGTTCAGAGCAGAGCTTTCTGAGAGCTGTGTGGAAGTTGGGAACCATCACTAACAACCTACCCTGTGGCTTCCACTTCTCAAGACTGTAGCCTCTCCAAATAGCACCACCGGCTGCTGAGTAAGCCTTCAAGTACTCACGCCTTTAGGGACGAGCTCTAAGCCACATACTCATTGACATTCTTGAACTGGAAACCTTTCAGACAAGTCTTCATATAGTTTTTCTCCTCTTCTTGAATGGTTCCAACTGTGTAATTCCAGAATAAGGACCCCCCACTGGGACAATGGAAGCAGATCACAGATGTGCATTGATTTGTTTTGTTTCTTTTCCTTTGTGTGTTTTATTTTCCATACTTCTACTGACATTCTTTAAAACTCGCCGGTATTTTTATTGTGTAGCATTTGACCCATTGCTAGTTCCCTGCATTGTATCTCTAACCTGAGATACTGCACTTTTCTGCTCTAAAAGTATCAGCTATGTCGGGGTTTTTTTGTTTTTTGGGGTTTTTTTTTTTCATATCTCAATTCTATCTACTTAATATCCTGACTTTTTCCCCTCTGTTTTCATTACCATATGGAATATAATTACATTAATTTCTCTGGTGTCTGTTTTGGTTGGCAGTTGGTTGGTTGGTGGGTTGGTTTTTCAAGACAGGGTTTCTCTGTACTGCTTTGAAGCCTGTCCTGGAACTTGCTCTGTAGACCAGGCTGGCTTCAAACTCACAGAGATCCACCAGCCTCTGCCTCCCAAGTGCTGGAATTAAAGATATGTGCCACCAATGCCAGCCTGATGTCTGTATCAAACAAGGTCTGTTTCTGTTGGTTACTTCTTCCTTACAATCTCTTTCTCTGTGTCTCTCTGTCTCTGTGGCAGAGAGTT